AGGAGAAATTACGGAGGAGAGAGTGGTGGAGGAGCCAACTCGGGAACCTATTCAAGACCATATCATGGACAACGACAAGAAGGAAGCCACAGAAATGGAAGTAACAAAGGTCGAAGAACCGATTCAAGTACATGACAAGGTTGATCAGACGGACAAGGAGGAAGAAAAAGCCGTAGAGCTTGAGAGCAAGGTGATTCAACCAGGCCAGGAGCCTGCGAAATCTAGCTAGGTTTGATGACTCTTGTGATTCAATATACTTTGGATTTGAATGAATATGCTTTTTTGCTTCCGGTCCACTATCGTAAGACGCGAGTAAAAGAAGCCGGTGCCTACGACCTTCTCATTGCGACACCAAGTATTGGAAATTTCTTGTTCTAATTCCACCACCACGTTCAAATGGGCGTGCCTTCATCTTTGCCTCGCCGACTTTTTTTTTTTTTTTTTTTTTTTTTTTTAATTCCATTTATGCACGAAAGAGACGTTGAGTCTGTGCTTGTTCATGAGCCTAAAATCGTGGAAGAGTACAGTGTGGGTGTCAAAGAGGTTGGGTGTCAGCGTTTGCTCAACATAGTCCAGCCTCAATTGTGGAGGGATCCACCTCTCCTTTGTAAAATCGAAATTGATGTTATGATAGGTGGGTGGGGAGTGTGTTATCAATAGGTACAGGTTATCCTGTCTGGCGCCCTACTGGTCCGGTTACTTGGTCTATCCTTGCCAGCTGAATAACAGTATTTTAGTGTCGACAAGTGTTCACATGATGAATTTGAAATATCGGTCAGAAAAGTCGTACGTTGACAGAGGCTACATACCCTCGATGGAGTGACAACAAGGTGGTTCTATTACGCACCCTCAAGTGCTGGAATAGAGTAACCTATCGCACCGAATAGTAGATAGACACCCATGTGAATTTGTTGTAAACAAGTCAGAGCCTAATTGTCTGGACAAACACGTGAGGGCTTGAGGACATGAGATACGGTATCCTCCTTCCATTTTGACATCCGATTTATATGGACCCGATAAATTTTGAGGATTAACGTGAATTATATTAGGCCTTTGAGTTCGTGATGGCAGATTTGTCCAAGATGGTCGAGGACTAACTTGGGGACAAACATTTGTCCATAACCATAACTATCAACAAAAGAAAAATCTGTGCCCAGAATTTTGTCAAGAAATATTATTCAAGCCCTTTTTGTTGTGGCAAATGGAACCTAGTATCTTACCTATGGAATGATCCACAACGTCCATTCTCCACTGTGGTGACCCGACCAGGAGCCTCGTGTACTGCAGCCCTCAGCTCTATACGGTTTTAGACATCCGCGTAATGGATTGTACCGATGAATTGACTGGCTGTTCATTCCCAGCGTGATTACGATTGGAGAACGGTTGAGAATGATGGGGGTACATGAATGTCCAGGAACTTCCAAATGTACAGGTCGATGTTGCGATTCAAACTGCTACCTATTCGATCAGAAAGAGACTGAGCCCGGCAAAATGGCAAGGCATAAAACCTGTAGGCTATTCCTGTGCCTGGTTTCTCCCTTTCCAGGAATTTTGGAAACGTAAAAGAACTAGAGTGAGTTGCTTCATCTAACGTCCAGGTCATATTATAGTCCTCTGCTCTCTTTCTCTGCGATATTGATACCACCAGGTGTGACCTCACGTGAAGCTATCGTGCATTTGATAAACACGCTAATTCAAGAGCGCCTAGATAAAGACGGAAGGGCAGCAATCGAGACGAGATGTCATATCTGACGGAACGGAGGACTAGGAGCCGGTGCAGCCTTCTCAAAGCCTATATCGCGCTATATCAGGAGATTTTATCGACTGATCAACCTAGTCGTGGATGACGGGCTGGGGGATCTAGGTAGGCCCGATTTATGGGATGGTCACTCTCGTTTAGAGGTCAAGTCGGCGAGGCCTCGACAGCAATGGCACTGGTAGACGACCATCAAATTCACGAGCAGGACGGATATGTAGGAAAGCCAACATAGACACCAGCCCGGCGGCCCAGAGATCTCGCTAGGGACTTCGGTCCTGAGGTCAGTAAGCGCG